CCCCCGGTGGGCCAGGCTGTGTGGTGAGTGCTGTACTCCTCATGGCAGCCTCTCAGGTAGGTGATACTGTTGGCCCATTTCCCAATAAAGACACCGAGGCCTCCGTACTGTCACACGGTGAGGGAGGAACCTGGTTGAACGGGAACAGCCTGCCCCAGAGTCCCTGCTCTCAGCACGATTTCCGCGAGGGTCCTGGGTCTCCTCACTAGGCCTTGCATCCCTCTTTTTCAAGCCCACTTGGCTCTCCACTCTGCTGCCACCCCCGGGCCTTTCTCCCTCCTGGCCCTCCTGCCTGGTGCAGAGCCCTGGGCCAGGACTGGGCTGCCTCACAGGATGAGGTAGCCAGGCCTGCTCCTCCTTCCACTGCTAAAGCAGTCAGGCCTCAGGTGTGCCCCAGCTATCCTGTATGCTACAACACTGAAATACCACAGTGGTTACAGAACAGCCACTTGTCTGAGACCCTAAAGGGCCCCGGTGGCACAGATCGTTAAGCGCTCAGCTATCAACCAAAAGGTTGGCACTTCAAATCCATTCAGAGGCGCCTTGGGAGAAAGGCCTGGAAGTCTCCTTCTGAAAGGTCACAGCCTTGAAAACTCTATGGCATACAGTTCTACTCTGCAACATATGGGGTCACCATGAGTCAGAATCCACTCAATGGCAACTGGTTTCTGGTTTTTGAGTCCCTAAGGCTCCACCCTGGTGGCACAGTGGTTAAGTACTCGGCTGCTAACCAAAAGGTCAGGGGTTTGAACCCACCAGATGCTCCACAGGAGAAAAATACAATAGTCTGCTTCCATAAATATTTATAGCCTTGGAAACCCTATGGGACATTTCCACTCTATCCTAAAGTTGCTGTGAGGCAGAATCGACTCAACGGCAATGGGTTTTTTAAGGCTCCACTACCATTCTAGGTCTTTCCCTGAGACCCCCTGGACCTTCCCACAATCCAGGGAATACAAAGTTAACACCTGGCACAGCACGAAGCCTTGCAAATGCTGCTCCACAACTGAGAACCACACTGTCCTGGCTACTGAGCGCTTGAAATACACGCCCGCCCCCAGGTCCAGGAGGCCAGGGATTAGGGCCCTGACTCTGGCCTGAGCCCCCAGAAAGGGTAGCACCCACCTTCCCTCTCCCATACCCCCTCTTTGGGCACCTCACTAGAGAGAGGGTTCCCAACCCAGCAGCCGCCCCCAGGATCACTGTGTAGCCAAGGACCAGCCCAGCCAAGGACCAAGTAGGAAGGAGGCCTAGCAGACCCACAGGGGCACTGCCTTCATTCCACACACCCCGCCCCCCAGCACCTACATGGGCCCGAGCGGAGGCAGGGGCCAGAGTACAGAGGTGGAGAAACCAGGTCGCTGTCTGGTGTGGGGCGTCAGAGGGCACCAAGGGTTCTGGTGGTGTCTGTGGACACAGGGAAGGGAGAGGAATGGGGACAGGAACAGCCAGGCCAGGGAAGGCTACTCGGAGGAAACCATGCTTGAACTGAATCATGAGGATGAACAGGTGTTCACCAGGCAGATGGAGGACGAGGTGGGGGCGGGGGAGAGGGACAGTGGCCTAGAGGTCCTCAAATATCTGAGGTTGCAAGAGGCATCCAGGCTGGCTGCAGTGCGGGGCCCCCAGGATTCAGACCAAGTGGAACTGCCCCGTAGGTTTCCAAGGCTGTAAATCTTTATGGAAGCTCAAGAACAGAGGGAAGTTTAGAGTGGCCAGCTGGGGCAGGTTGTAGAGAGCCTGGAGCCAAACCAAGGGGCTTCGGGGTTAAGGTAGGGTCTCAGGAAGCAGCAGAGGGATGTGAGGGGCCTTGTGACTGCCACAGGAAGATGCGAGGGAAAGGAGGCTGTCCTGGTGGGAGCAGGACCCCGCGCAACCCTGAGCTGTGGCTAGAGGTGAGGGTGAAGACGGGGCGAGCCGGGCTTGGCTGCTGAGGCCCCCAGAGGGGCCACCACCGGCCAGCACTGCCCTCAGGCCTCCTGCTCCCAGCCTCCACCCGCCCTCCGTCCTCTGGCACACGTCCGCGTCTCCTGGTGTGTGGAGGGAGCTCCATCGTGGGATCTGCCGCCCTGGAGAGCAGCACGTCAGGCAAGGGGAAGGACAGCAAGCCGTCTGTTTGTGGAGATCTGCTGCCCTCTGCTGGACAGTTCTAGAAACACATTCACCCAGGGCCCTCGTCTCAGCTCCTGAGGATGGCGTCCCATCCCAAAACACATGCAGGCCCCACCTCGAGTGGTCTCCGACCGCCCGGTCGCCTCATCCCCAGGGTGTTACAACTTCACCCTCTGGTAAGAATGCCAAGCCCATCACGTGCGCTATCTCTGACCTCAGCCGCTCCTGCCACAGCCTGGCGAGGGGCCACCATTATCTGCAGTTTGTAACTGAGGCTTGGGGAGGTTAAGAATGGGCCAAGAACACCAGCCAGTAAGGGGCAGAGCCAGGTTTCAAGCCTAGGTCTGTCCATCTCCCACTCCCCACCCCCTCACTGCTCCAGGCCCTTCCCCTGGTTTCCTCCACCAGGGTGACTGCCAGCAGCCCGTCCCTCTCCGCACCTCGCTATTTTCTTCATGGCACTTTGCTGTTATTGTGTCCTTGCATGGTGCCTGCCTCCCCACCTCCACATCTAGAATGTCACCTCCAAGAGGGCAGGCGCCACATCCTTCTAGTTTACCGCTGTGTGTCCCCCTCTCTCAGGACAGGGCCTGGCCCACAGCAGGGGCTCAAGGTCTCCGTCAAGTGAAGTCTTCTCTCGGTAACTTTCTAGTCCCAGCTGTGTCTCCCCCAGACTGCGCTCCTTGAACAGGGTCTCTCCATGTTCAGATGGTTCTGGTCCCTGCTGGCCTTTCTCCCAGGAATTCAGTCTCCCCCCAGAGCAAGGTGCGTCCTGCCGAAGCCCCCGCCCTCTTCCTTTGGCCAGCTGGGCTTTGAGAAGGAGCAGCTCCATGTGTCGGGCGGGCTCTGAGGGAAGCGAGGCCCTGCAGGCCAGGCAAGACTCACCCCAGGTCGCCCCCGACCTCTGCGGGGTGCTTGCCGGATCCCACCCCTCCCGGGCCTAGGACACTGCCACCATCTGGGTAGCCCTGAAGGTTTGCAAACCTTTTCCTTTTCCACGGTTCACGCTGGCAGTCACAAACCTCATGAACCCAAGAAGCTGTCTCCTCCCGTTGGAAATGAAGATGGAAAGGCCACCAGCCCAGCCACACACAGGAGGGCCACCCAGGCGGGCACTGCCTTTCCTGCTGTAGCAGCCCTGTAGACCAGCCCCGAAGGCCACTGCAGTGTTCACGGTTGGTGGAGGACTGCACTATAGGAACAACTCCCTCGCAGGTCATGGAGGAAATGTGTGTGAACCCTGCACACAGCACCTGGCTGGAGGACTGGAGGCTAGAAGCCTGCAGGTCAACCGTGTCCATGTCCCCAACATGCCAGATAACGGTGTGGTCAGATGCAAACCAGGTGGCCTGGCCACACTTGCCATCTCACCACGTTCCGTGGTCACAATGCCAAGTGGAAAGTCACCAAGACATCCAGCCTAAGGTGGACTCCCACCAGCAGCAACGGGGCAGACACCACCAGGGTCCATGTTCTTACACGTCACACTGCGTCCCTTCCCCACTTCAACAAAACACGAGGGCCGGAGGTGACACAGGCTGAGCGGGACTCCAACCTCCCAGCGGGCGGGGAGCCTGGCACGGAGTCTAATTCAGACAAAGCACCGAGGGCAAGCCAGGTGCATGCAGTTCCTTTAGGAGCTGCAGGTTGGGACCCGGAGCCCAGACTTGGGTCTGGCAAACGGCGGCAGCGCCCAGTGTTGCAGTAAGTGACCCTTCTGCTGGCGCTGAGGAGGACTTGCCTCCATGCCAGGCGTGCGAGGTCCCGCCAGCGAGGAGGGAGGGCCAGGCCCACTTCTTCCAGTAAAAGGCGGCGTTCTGGCAGCGGTCAGTTTAAAAGCCTTGTTGCTATTGTAAATCATAATAAGCTGATTATGGCAGCTTAAAATAAAATTTTAAAATAAAATTTCCCAAAGTCGTTCCAACCTAGATTTTGAGTTGGAACAGGATTAGGATGAGTTGCTTTATCGGCAGGAATAGCCCTCAGCTCTCATGTTTCACTCAGCGCTCCATGAACTCACACCCCCGCTCCCCTCCCTGCAGTTGCAAGGCCCTGTGTCCAAGTCTGGGCTGATCACTTCGCTCTCTCCGTGGAGCAGAGCCCCAGGGGTTAACTCTGAGCAGACACATGGGTTTACTTGGTATGAAGAATGAAGAGCTTCACAAAGATTTGCTGGGTTTCAAAGTCATTAATGTACTCGTAAAAATCCGTGGGTGTGGGCAAATTTCTCCTGCTCCCTTCAGCCGGGGACCTCCACCAGCAGGCTGCTGCCACCCGTCCTGTCTGGGCCTCACAGAAGCCGGGCCTGCCCTCCGTGCCAAATTGCTAGAGTTAACATTTGTGTCAGTGTTTCCATTCTAAAACGCTTTTTTCCCCTCCAAGAATATATAACCAACTGTTAAATTACCCTCAAGGCTGCAGGCTGGCAGACAAGGTGTTTTTTATTCCTTCTGAGCAGAGAGGGCTGTGGGACCCCCATTTGGGCGCCCACAGGACTTCAAATGCACCCTTCCCAGTCTTCTCAGGGGCCTCCTGGGCAGGACGTGCACTGAGGAAAATCAAGGTAGTCCTGCTCAACTGCTGCTTTTGGCTCCCTGAGGTCAGCTCGTGGGGTGCAGGGCTGTGGGATTTGGACTGGTGCTGCTCCAGTCCGGGCACTGTACAGCCTCAGCAATGGATGCTGAAGCACGTGAACTCTTAACACACCTGTGCAGCACAACCCCGGACCCATCAGCACACCCGGGGTTGAGAAGGGAGGAAAAAAAAAACAGCAACTTTAAAAGGCTCCGTTTCCCTGGGGAATCGGGTGGAAGGAGGAGTGTGCTGTCACAGTATGGGGAGCGCAATTAGGGTCACACAACAATGTACGTATAAATTTTTCTATGGGGAAAAAAAAATTTTTTAAAGTTTGAAAGAAAAAAAAGGCTCTGTTTCACAAGCTGTCCAAAAACCTGGGTGCCCCAGCTACCCCAAGGGAAGGGAGATGAGGCATCTCCCGCCACACACTCCACACCAAATGCAATGCAACGTGTCAGCCCAATTCTAGAAATCCTTAGTAACACTTTTTAATATACAAGAATCAAAAGTACAGCAGTTTTACAATGTAGGAAAATTTAATACATACTATATAAACAACATTATTTACATCAGAAATCACTAGGACAGTGGCATTTTTCACAAATATAAATTAATTACTGTTTAGTCAACAGGTTTTAAAAGTCCACAATTTTACAATAAAGAAAAGCCATCTGTCCCCAGGCGAGTGGGGAGCAGATGGACGGAAGCAGCCTGGACCCCTGGCATGGCCCCCTCGCCTGACCAGTAGCCCTCGGCCTGCCAGGCGGCCGCTGTGCTGGGCCGGCCTCTGCTCCCGCTGACACGTGGGTTTTGGTCTGTAGGGCTGCAGTGTCATAGTGTGAGTTCAGAACTGAATCACGTTTGCACCACACATCCTGATGTGACTGTCAGACATCAGGCTCAAACATCTGCCGCAGCTGTGCAAAGCGTCCATGTTTCCCGTCGAAGGGCTTGGGTAATGGCTAACGGGAGAGCGAGCCCAGGGGAGCAGCCAAGCCGTGGAGGGCCTGGCTGTTTGCTCCGCACGTCACTGCAAGGCTACTGCGGTCAGTGGGGGCTTCACATTTTCCCTTCTAAGGGCTACAGTATATCATGTTAATCCTTGTTTATGTTCAGGGTTTAGGTGATGTTAGCTCCCCTCTTCCTCAAGCCCTGCTATTTCTAGCCGACCATTAAGTCCTGCAAAACTAGGCTCCATGGAATACCATCTTCAAAAATTCTTGTGGCAGCTTCTCCCATCCACAAGTGAGAGAAAATTTCTACCTGTGCAAATTTCTGGTTTTGATTTCAGCATACAATTTTCATACTGATTTAAATGAATGAGGCAATGCCTCCTTTCTCCCAACCCACTCTTCAAACATACTTCAACACCTAAAACAGATGTCTGGATGGGGATACTGTAATTTTAGAATCAATTTAACACTGATCTGGCCGATACTGCCTTTTGCTACATCATATGGCACAAGTCCTGAATGTGAACAAAAGGAAGTTCCTTTTCCTCATGATGAGACACCTTTGAGCATAACTTACATCTCCTATCAACAGCTTCAGAGAAAAAAAAAAACCTTGGTAAGTATTGGAAATACACAGCCTCCATCTACCATCTCTGTCTACAGGAGCGCACCCCCAGGAGGGCACAGTCTGACTTCCCACAGGGCAAGGGCAAGGGCACTCGGGTCCCCATCTCCCATCAGTCAAGAACCTCGTGAGCCAACTTAACCTTCATCTTTGACTTGGACAGGACAAGCACAGGATAGTGTCAATATTACCAGCAAAAAATTCAATTTGTGGTTTCCTTATCACTTACTTTGTGGCCAAAGCAGAGCCATAATCTCCTACCTCCTCCCACTGAGCATTCCCAGCAAGTCCTCAGTGAGGTGGCTTTGCCCAGGTGGCTCCTCTGTGGTCATTCGGGCTATGCATGTGTGCACAACCCCAAGTACCAAAGAAGTTAAATATGAAGGGGGTGGGCCCACTGAGCCTCCAACACAAGCCAGGAGGACCAGCTTTCACCTGGATGCTCTGCCCTGGCCATCCCCATTACATTTTATGTGGCGAGGAGCCCATCAAAGCCACATCTGCTTCACTAGTGTGCTTCAACTCAGGGATTTCTTGCTACAGGCATGAACGGTGCTGCCCAGAACACTAGCAAGTAAGTGATAATGATGTTATGAAGTCCCCACGAGTTAGTTCAGGGAGTTTAACCCTGTGTATGCCCAACGGATGAGTTTTCACCAGCTCTGAACCTGGACACTTACACTTGGCAGGCATAAATTTAAGACACAGGCACATCATATATTCAAGCCAGTTATTCTGTCTCCATCTAGAAAGGCCTTTGGATACTGTAAAAAAAATACTGGCAAAGCTATAACTTAAAATAATAAAACTGAAGGCCCCAGCCTTCATAAACTGAAAGGAGTTCCTTAGAAAAATTCCATTCTGCCTGCTTAATTGATGTAACCAACTTGCGTCCTTGTCTGGACTCAATTCAACTCCAGTATGATTCTTACTATCTATAGCTCAGTCACCCTGTCCTTGGATGCTTCCTATCCTGGAAAAAAATTAACTTGGGTTTATGCTTTACTTGATCTTATTCTTCAAAAAAACTGAGTACAATTCTAATAACCTTCACCTAGCAGTAGAAACCTGTCCACCAGAGGTTAACTTACTTTCATCTGACCATATGATTATCAGGAGATGTGTGATTCTGTATAATCTACTTCTTCAAGTTGTGCAAAGGGAACTAAAATGCAGCTACAAATGCTGACCTACACAACACTGAGAGCTTCCCAACTTGCTGGCATTCTCACTGGAAAACCTGTTCATGTCAGCACTAGCGCTGCCATCTCGATCCTTGTCAGCTACAAGGTGGTCAGCAGGGCTGCCTCTGCTCCCCCCCACCCCGCCTCTCCAGGCCCTGGAGTTTCACATCTCACCACAGGAATCAGAAATCCACCAGGGATTCCAGTTCCCTGGCCACACAACCCTTACCCTCCCCCCCTACCCCAAACCCTTATTCTGCCCGTTCCTCAACCAAGTAAGACCCATGCTGACCTCGACGATGCCTAACTCACAGTACTCAAAAGTCAGCCAGAGGGACCCTACTTTCCCTGGCATAGGGGAAAAAGGAGGCCCACTCAGGAGGCCAATCTTCGAAACGTACAAAGACGGTGTGGAAAAAATTAGTGTTGGGAGGGAAGAGACCACTGTGGACGATATTTCCCTCTCTCTTTATGCCGTTCCCCCCTAGGATTCCACAGAATGAGGCCCGAGTGTATTTCTCCCAAGAACACATTTAAGGGGCGTACCAGCTCCCCTTCAAGTCCTATAACCCAGGAACCCAACCACTTGCCCACACCCCGCTCCCCCTCAGCAGCAATAATCATATACTAGTGAATCAAATCGCACACTGCCCAGCAGGTCCTGGCAGCCTTCGCTCATGCACTCATTCCCTCCCTGACCATCATGCCAGGGTCCAGGGAACACTGCCCCGGCAATAAAACATTCGTATCTCTAGGATCCCTTCTTCCTTCACTGGGGAACTACCGCCCCATAAAGCTGGTACACACAAAGTCACCTCTTCTTCCTAGCACCTGTCAAAGTGGGAGGCCAGAACTAGGCTGGAATGGGATGGGGTGCCAAAGTGCAGGAATGGGGACCCAAATCCAATCTGGACCAGACAAAAGCCCCCCACTCCTTGAAGTGCTCCTTCAGCCAGTGAGTTGCCAGCAGCAGCATGTCCAGAAACTCCAGTCACTGGTCAAGATAACTGGCTACTGTTGATCAGACCACAAATATCCAGGTGCTTGATGACTCTTGCTCTTCCCTTTCCAAGCTATCCTCTATGTTTTCCGAACATTCCAGTTATAATCTGGGTTGTTTTTCTGTTCTAGTGATCTCTCCAAAGGAGACCTATGATCCAGGGGCGACTTGGAGTCATGAGGAGACTTCTGAGATGGGGGAGAGCGAGGATCTGAGACTGCAGGGTGCAATGGGGGCAGGGGCTGTTTATATTCCCCCAATTTGTCTGTGTGGAAAGAGCGGTAATGGTCTGAAGGTCCCTGGCCATGGTAGCCCATAGGTGGGCGGTGATCAGACATTCGTCTGAAATCCTGCTGGTGGTAATTTTGAGGCCTAAATTCATCGGATCTCCGTCGTTTGGAGTCATGATGGTGCCTGAAACAGAGATCCCAGGATTAGCTGAGAGACTAAAGCCAGAGCCCTAGCCGCATCTTCAGGGTCCACTGGCCCTTCCTCATGCACTCATATTCAGGGACACTGCCAACGGACTTAGGGGCAAATGTTTACATTACTAGGAACCAAAACCACAAAACTAAAGTAGTAACACAGGGCCATTTTACACTTACTGGCAAAACACACCCCAGAAAATGATGTAAGTCAGGTCTGCAATAAAACAAGTACACTCTTGAATCATTGATGGCTTTGTAAAACCACACTCCCTTCAGGAAAAATCTGGCAAGATCTAAAAACATGTTCATATCGCATGACCCAGCCCAGTCCAAGAGAAAAAAAGCCATGGAAATTATTTTGTAAGTTATTAGTAACAGCAAAAGCCATGATCAATCTAAATACTCAACAGTAAGGGAAAGCTTAACTCATTTTAAAAATCAACTCAATGTGAGGAATATTAAAATTTTTAGCTAGGACCATGGCAAACTGCTCATTATGCTGTTAGGAGAGAACTGAGCAATAAATAACCCAATTAAAAAATGGGGAAAGGACCTGAATAGACATTTGTCCAAAGAATATATACAAATGGCCAACAAGCACATGAAAAGACGCTCAACATCATTAGTCACCAGTGAAATGCAAACCAAAATTACAATGACATACCACTTTACATCCACTAGGATGGCTGTAATTAAAGAAAAAATGCTGAAAATAAGAACTGGCGAATAAGTGGAAAAACTGCAACACTCGTCCATTGCTGGGAGAAATATAAGATGGCGCAGCTGCTGTAGAGAACAGCTGGGTGAGTCTTCAAAAGGCTAAAAACATAGGATTAGCATGTTCTTGCTGGGTGTCGTTTAGTCGATTCCGACTCATAGATAACCTATAGGATAGAGCAGAACTGCCATAGGGTTTCTAAGGCTGTACTCTTTACACAGAAGCAGATTGCCACATCTTTCTCCCACAGAGCAGCTGGTGGGTGTGAACCACTGACCTTTCAGTTAAGCAGCCAAGCACTTAACCACTGTGCTACCAGGGCTCCTCAGAATTACCATATGACCTAGCAATTCCATTCCCAAAAGAATTGAAAGCAGGGCCTCAAACAGATACTTGTACACCAATGTTCACTGCAGCATTATTCACAATAGCCAAAAGATGATGATAACCTAAACGTCCACCAACTGAGGAATGGAGAAACAAACTGGTATATACATACAGTGGATTATTCAGCCATAAAAAGGAATAAAGTACCGATGTATGCTACAATGCTGATGAACCAGGAAAACATTATGCTAAGTGAAAGACAGACACAAAATGTTACATATTGTGTGATTCCATTTCTATGAAATATCCAGAATAGATAAATCCACAGAGACAGGGGCGGAAACAGAATACAGGGGATGGGGGGAGGGGAATGGGGAGAAACTGCTTAATGGATATGGAGTTTTCCTTTCAGAGTGATGAAAATGTTTTGGAAGTTGATACACATGATGGTTGGACAACACTGTGAATGTATGCTTCAAAATAGTTCATTTTATGTTATATGAATTTCACCACAATTTAAAGAAAAAGAGAGCAAATTGATGACTATAGGTTCCATTCAAAATGCACTAACAGAGGCTGCATCTACCTACCACCTGAAACAACCAAAATGGCAAAATACACGGAACAACGGTTTTCAACACATCATGTGATGAAGAACAGTGATCCCCGAGGGATGGAAAATGAATGAGATGCGCCTCTGGACTGCCCCTAGCTCACTGTCTTGAGATGGTTTCCAGGCCACAGCACAGGGAGGGGGAAACCCAGGAGGAGCCCAGCAGACTCCCAGCAGCTGGAGTTCAAAGGACAGAGTGCAACAGAAGGTATTCTGTTCAGAGAAAGAAGTCTGAAGATCTGCAGAGGGCTCTCCTCGAGTGGTCAGTTGAATACTGGCCAGGGTGTGCACGTAAGGAACCCTCCCAAGGCCAGGGAAAGAAGCACTCAAAATGAACAGTGCCCTGGGCTCACACAGGGCCAAAAATAGTGCCTGTTATCACCAGCCAGACTAAAAAACCTCAAGATTCACAGAGCACTAAGCAGAGTACAATGAGGGTCCTTGCCTCAGTGGTGGAGAATAATTGGCCCTCGACTGAGCAATGCTCCAGTCCCACCTAAAAATCTTAACCGCAAGACCTAAAAGAATCAAAGTATTCCCAAATAACCTACCTGTGTCTCATAACAAAGCTCAAGAATATTTATATGAATACAAAAATATCTGGCACTCAAGGTAAATTTTACAACATCTGGCATCTAGTTAAAAAAAGAAAAAAAGAAATGACTAGACATGGAAACAACCAAGAAAATAAAACCCATAATGAGGAGATAAAAATCAATCAACTGAAACAGACCCAAATAATAGAACTGGAAGACAAAGACATAAAACAGTTTGTATAACTATACTCCATATTTCAAAAGGTTAGGCAGAGATATGGGAGATTTAAAACAACAACAACAAAAAGACCCAAACAGAACTTCTAGAGATAAAACGATAATGTGTGAAATACAAACTACACTGGATGGGCCTCATGGAAGATTAGACACTGAAGAAGAAAATATTAGTGAACTTGAAGACACAGCAATAGAAACTATCCAAACACAGAGATAACATAGTTTTTCAAAATAAACAGCATCAGTGAGCTACAGACAACTTCAAGCAGCCTAATACAGGTGTTAACTGGACTCACTGAAGGAGAGGAGAGATTGGGAGAACAGAAAAAAAATATTTAAAGAAATAATGGCCGGAAAATGTCCAAATTTGATGAAGATTATAAACTCACAGATCCAAGGAGTTCAATAATTCTCAAGCACAAGAAACATGAGGAAAAATACACTAAGGCACATCATAAACAAATTACTAAAAACCAGTGATAAGGAAAAAAGATATTATGTAAAAATAAGGACAAAAGTCTTTTGTCAGACACAAGTAGACAGTAGACATCTTTAAATTACTAAAAGGAAAAACTGTCCATCTAGAAATGTATACCCGGGAAAAGTATCTTTCAATAATGAAGGCAAAATACAGACTTTTTCAGATGTACAAATGCTGAAAAGAATTCATCACTGCAGACCCACACTCAGACAAAAGTCCTTCAGGCAGAAGGAAAATGATACCAAATGAAATGTCCATCTACACAAAGAGCCCCGGGAAGTAACTACATAGGAAAATATATTTAAGATTTTCTTATTTAAAATTATGTAAAAGGTAACTGCTTAAACAAAACTAGTAACAATGTAGTATGACATTTATAACATAGGTTAAAAACTGGATGATAACATTAGCACAAAAGTCAGGTGGGGAGAAATGAAAGTATATTAATGTAGGGTTCCTATACTATACAAGGAGTGGTGTAATACCCTGTAATGTCATATAAGCTAAAGATGTATACTATAAAACCCTAAAGCAACCAATGAAACA